TATGATCTTCGCAGAGAACCTCTCAGTCTTCTGAACTGTCGTCACGAGGACTGTGAGGTTCTCTGGGAAGATCATATATTCATCCAGTAGCATCTAGGCTACTTAAGGGAAGTCAGAGTATTCATTTTAAATGCAGTGTGCTTAGTGCAGAGTAATAGTTGTAATGTTACAGGTAAAATTAGTTAAATATGACTCTGGGCTGAATTAGACATTTTGAGAACCATTACCATGGCCTTAAAAAATTCAATTCTGTTTTATATTTAGATCTAGTTTGTGGCCTGGTAGTTGCTGAGCACTCTGCAGGCAGTAAACACATCAAGCTGTAATGTTTCCTAATGCATAATAAATGCTTTCACAAGAAATATCAGCATAGAGAGACGTGCTGTGGGTATACAGAAGTACTTTTGTCAGTGACTTTAACATATTCATTTTTTATAGTAAATAAAAAGTGAATATAATCATTGCACATGTGGGAATCAGAATATAATAAATAGTCAGTTTTCTGCTCTGATCAGCGCTGGGTTTTTGTTCCATTGCAACACACAAGAATATGAAGTAGTTGCTCACCAACATGCCATGATGTGGAATCTGCTCGGCAAAGTTTATTCAAAAACTTCCAATCTCTGCATTTAAGATTTGCTCGTGTACTCTTGTATTTGCGTCACTTTAAAATCTTTTAAAAAGCATCTCATAAAGTGAAATTACTGTATTGATGCAGCAAATTTCCATTATTATTCCCAATCGAAAATGTTGAAATATAAATGATGCAGCCTTTTGGTTGTGTACAGTCAGATGTAGGGCAGCAGTTCTTTTTGTGTAACTCCTGACATTTCTTTTAATTGTTTAATTTAAAAAGTTAACCTAAGCTGGAGATGTAAACATTTTCTGTGTTCGACGTGCAGTGAGCAGCAGTGTTTGTGTTGTTGTTGCAGGTTACAGGTGTGAGCCGGTATTGAACGTGAGGTGGAGCAGGCCAGGCTTGGCATCATGGTGAAGTCCCATAAGTCAAGTGGGAGGAAGAGCTCTCACAGCCTCCGCAGACAGGTACTGAAAAACAACCACAATGCCTGGATGTTAATGTGAATGGATGTCTGTCTCTCTGCAGTGAAAACTGAAAACACATCTTTTGTTATGTAAATCAATCAACTATTATCATGTAATTGTCACATTTAAAGAGAGGAGTGAACAGTATATCCCAATTTACACATCTTAGATTACCAGCACCACAATGTCTTCTGGTTCACCACACACTGTGCTCTACGTTGCCATATATAGCCACATCACCTTGGATTAAGTCAAATGAGAAGAACAACATGTTTTCTGGATAAGGATTAAAGTCAGTTCTGGACTCATAAAACGTTTCACTGCTGAGCTTTTATTTTAGTCCAGAACTCAACTTAATCCTTTTCCTGAAAACCACCTCTGTTTGAGTTTCTCTGAATTTATTCATCTGTTCTCCTTGAGGAAAACACACTTTGCACTCTCGATGACACCGTCCTTCCCTGCATGACCCACACAGAGATTGTGGTGTAACACCACAGGAAACAATTAAAGTCATTTTATTTGAAAACCTCACATAACATTACTTTAAATGCCAGAAAGCGGCTCAGAGATTTTCTCACAGTTGCTCGAGAGTACCTGATGAGATCATTATTTGATCCGAGCACATTTCTATCCATATGAATCATCTTAAATAATAATTATAATCCATTTACAATTCAATTGTCAATTTTATTGTTCATCCTTCCTTGTTTCATTGAGCAGTGATTAAAATTAAACTTTTAAAACAATTATAATAACATTGATTGACTTATGTTAAAGCAACATCGTGCACCTTATTTACCTTGAATGAGCAGCTTTAAAATTAGTTTGATGGTTTACTGACTTGGAGTAGAAAGAATGTTTCCTATTTCATTCTCACTTCTCGCCGCAAACACTTAAAAGTGTTAATGGTCTATGTAACTTCAGTGAGCAGGTACAATCTCTTGTGGGGAGAGTGTATCTGACAGCTTCAATTGTCAGAATCAGGTCCAGCTTGTTCAAGAGTAAAGTTGAACTGTAGATCAGTTAAAATGGTTTAGAAGTCTTCAAAAACCAGCGTTTATTTCCAATATACAACCAGGAATTATTTTCAATATGGAGAACTCTGAACAGAGTTTGGTTTATTTGTTACAGTGGCAGCTCCTCTGGTTTAGGAAGCTGGGGATCATGGGTGATATCAGTTTAGTGGGTTTTGTTTTTTCTCTACATGAAAACCACATACTCTCGGACACAGCACCCAGAAGAATTACTTATCACATACGGCTGCAGGGGGCGCTGTTGCGTAGTCTTACCTTAAGTGTTTTATTGCAGAAGTAACAGAAGTATTTGGGTTGAGGTTTAGCCTCACATCACACCCACTGTTTGAGATAAATAAGGATTCAGTGGTAGCAATTATGCTTATGTGTGTCGGACTGCACAGATGGCTTCACTGGGCATGTTCGACTCATCAGCGGTCATTTAATTATGCTGTGGTGAGCGCAGTGTTTGTGTGTGTGGCGGGTGACACAGTGACAGAGTGGCCCACTTGTTCAGTGGAGATGTGCTGTCGGGTGCCTAAACGATGAAGTCATTTATCCCTCTTCAAGGGCAGCGGGGACACTGAGCGAGACAGACAGAGAGAGGAAATGAGGATAAATTGGTGGGTGGGAGAGAAGAAAGGATTGGGGACTTCAAGAAGAAATAGGTCTGGACAAGAGACACAACTACACACAGATACACACATCACACTTGCACATACAGTGTAAACACTGAAGACCTGTGGAGTCACTTATCTGCTGAAGGGTGGCTGTGTTCAACAAGGTAATGTCTGCATGCTCAGGAGACATGACAGCAACACACACACACACACACAGTCTGCTGAGGTGACCCCACAGTCTGTCCAGCAACAGGTATTATTCTAATAATAACAGATAACTATTGCCTTAATTACTTCTCTTCAAGTTTCTATATTTGAACTATAGGACTTGATGTGTATTAAGTGGTTTTAGTAGTCAGTGGGTAAATGTGTCCTTGTCTAATAAAGAAATTGACAATTATCTAGCAGTTGAAACTTGAAAAACAGATATTAGAAAAAAATAGTGACAAAACCGAAACTGAATTAGTTGATAAAAATGGAATAAATGGATGGGTTGATAAAGTGTAACACCCACACCAGGCATTGGTTAATATTAACTTTTGGGGATTTGAAAAATTCTAAATTGACAACAATGTTGTTGTGATTCATGTACTATAATATTTCATCTTCTTTTATGATTTTTGTCTCCTTGTTTCTGTAGCTAATGTCTAATGCGTGGTTCTGCTCCCACAGACTGGTGGCCAGACAGAGGTGGAGGAAGGTCAGTCCCAGTCAGACACCCAGCATCCACCACAGGAGCAGCCCCGTGGAGAAGACCACTCCTCTGATCATGCCGAACTCCGGACCTCTGCATCAGCCGAGGCGCTGTCTGAGAACTGTGACCAGAAGGAAACTCCCATGGACGTCCAGGAAAAGGGTGACTCCAGCCAAGCCAAGCCAATGTGGAAACCCATTCCCCCTCTGATGCCTGAGCCCGAGGACCACGGGAGCACGACCGGTGAGACCAGGGACCAGAGCTGTCAGACTGACGAGCAGCTTCAGCAGATGAGTGCTGGCAGCGAAGGTCATAACGCAGGTTAGTAAACCACCACCGCATCACCTGCTGATTCATCCACCCACAGCAAGACTTTTTCCACCGGTAGTACCGGCGCTTAGGAGCACCAGCAAAAATCTAATCTCTCACAGTCCTGACCTACAAGCTAAAACAGTCTGTCAGGTCCCTGTGTAGCTTCACTGCCAGAGATGTTTATGTTTTGTTCTCATGAAGAAATTGGCAGTCGCAAAGAGGAGCTGCCTTTAACTTTGGTGACCACGCGTTTGCCTGCACCATCATACATTTTTGAAAGTTTTACTTGGAAGTTGATTTATCACGTTGGCTTTTGTATAACTATTGTATTGTTTTAATGGAGTTGAAAGTCTTGTCTGCTGGTGTAGGCGCCAATAAATCAACAGAACAGGCCCATTAACACAGTGGGAAATTGGTCTGAACTGGCCCAAAGGCTTGAAAATGCATTTTCCTCTTCCTTGCACAAGAATAAGAGTAAAAACCTCAACTAGAAAAAAATCTTGTCACTTCTGACAGGAGTTGGAACAAGGACTCAAGAAATTATCGTAACACGGCTTCAGGGATTTATTACATAAAAACATGGATTGAAGAAATATTCTTGAAAGATTTGGTTTCAGTAAAAACATTTTCTGATTATTTATGTTCAGTTTGAAATCACTGTCCCCCAGAAACCACAGGGTGTGATTAGTTCTCTTGGCAGTTAGCGTGTTTCCTGACCCTAAAGCCCAGCTAACCATGGATTGTAAAATGTGGCCTTTCAAAGCTATCGTTGTGTTAAAACAAATATTGTTTGTTTCTTTCCCCTTTTTCATCCTCTTGGGTTACCTCAGCTTGCCCCCATCAATTCGGTGTTCTTGTTTCACGCTTAAATCTCGATGCCTTGAGTTCATTTTTAACTTTGTAACTCACGGCTAAAGGAAGTAGTTTGCGACGAGTGACATTTTTTGATTGGATGATCTTTGACCCCCCTTGCAGAGGGAGGTGCGAAGGTCGGCGGGTCACTGACCTGCCCCGCTGGGATTGTAACGGTCTGCCTGTGAGAGGTGTGTGTGGCGGGGGGGAGGGTAAGAGGGCATGAGGAAAACACACTCTGTTGCACATTAATACATAATCTCCATCTCGCTCTCTGTCAAAACCTCTTAACCAGACGTCATTCACGTTTCCAGCTCTCTTTTGTCTGCATCTGTCTGGGTGTGTCAGTGTGTCTGCTCGGCTCTTTAGCTTCTGTCTGTCTCTCACTCACCTACACACGCACAAATAAACGCACACGGATCGGCTACGTCCTACTGATTACCATGTAGTATTGCTTTGTGTGTTTGTGTGTGTGCATTCAAGCGTTTGCAGAGCCAACCAAGCTTAGAACATGCAAGTTCTCAACGTGCTTTCTGACCAGAAGTAACTTAATATTGGGAAAAAAACAAAACCACGAAAGACTAAAAATAAAGTTAAAAAACAAAACAGAAAGTGATCATTTGATATATGTATTTGTAAAGTGACACAACACAGCATTGTCCGCTGACACTAATGCATCTTGAATGATATAAATTGTAGTTTGCAGGCTGTAATTGAAGAGTGTGCTTCAGTAACAAGCAGATTTGTCACACTGAATGCGTTTTATTTGGAGCGTTGAGGTTTTACACACTTCTCTCTTGTTGTAGAAATGCTGCTCACCGTCCTTCATATCAATACAAAGTGAGAGTTGGGACATGTGGGGTGATTACAGGGTCTATGACGGTGTTTGTTAGGGGCTCTTTTAGCTTTTTACACCTCTTTTATGCCCATTTCTATTCAAAACATGTCGGGACGTTTCATAGCGCTGATATAACAAAGTTGTTGAAACCAGGTAGAATGAAAGCACTTTTCCTCCTCACAGTCCATCTCAGTAGCAGGTCACGGAACCATAGTCAGCCCGCATCAATAATGCAGATACCAAACTCCCCTCCTGGTATTTTATATTTAATGTTTTATACCAAGGAAAAATAAAATAGTTCTGTGGCACTGAGATCAATGAATACAAATACACCCGAAAGACATATTTGTTAACATTTTCCTTTTCAAGGCAGAAATGTGTTTTTGTCTTTTAGAAAAAATGGAATGAGTCTGTTCTTGCAGTATTTTAATCCCACCGGTTAAAGATTTGGCAAAGTAAAACCTGTTTTGTGGAGAGAACAAACGACATGCAGATTTTGATGCTCAAATACATTTCACATACATTGTGATAATCAGCACATATTTTTATGGTTTTATGATGCAGGCATTCACATTAGGCTGTTCAGAAAAAAAAATGATTGTGAAAATTGAATGGTTAAAAGTAGAGACCAACCACCATGATATTTTTGGGGATGATGCCAAAACCAATGTATTGGCTATTATACATATTTGTTTTGGCAGTAAAAAGGCAATTCATATAGTTTGTTAGTATCGTTCGTGCTTTTTAGAAAAAGCAGTACTGTTTTAAAAGTATGAATTAAACACTGGCTATCTGACAAAACCCCTAAGGATAACCTAGTTAAAACTTGATTAAAATGAAGAAAGTATTTATGCAGGTGAGTTAATCAAACATAACATTAATTCCCTACCATCATCAGGTCTGTTGTTTTCCTGCTGGCCCTGCTCCCTTTGGTGATTGAGTTTGAGCAAAAGCAAAAACATTTTTAAAATACACATCAATACACCTCCTCCTGGTCCTCTTGTTCCTGATCGGGCGGGTTAAAGTAGCACCGGGTGACACCGAGGCTGAAGTATCAGATGCTGCACTGGCTCTCACCTCTGTTGGAATCTGCACAAAAATTTGTCACCAGCATGCCACCGCACCCTCCACTGCATGTTTTCCGACAGTCCCACTTGAGCTTTAGTCTTCTGAACAAGCGTCGCTGATTTGATTTGTCAGGATTGTTTTTCACTCAGTTTCTGCACCCTGAGTTTCCTTTCTGCTCACATCCAAGGTTTACCGATCTTGGAGGGAAAAGATAAATGGCCTGCTTTCTCACAGTCATCGCTGAATATGTATATGTTTGCACGCGTGTGTGTGTGTGTGCTACAAGGTAACAAGGTCTCATGCAGACCTCATTGTCTGACTCTGATTGTGTATCCCCTTTTAGCAACACTGCAATACTTTGTGTCTTACCAGGTGCCAGGAAATCCCAGGTGCTGCTGTATTACTCAGAGACAAGTCGTACTCTGATGTGACACTTTGCTTCAGATTGATCTCTTTCTCTTTCTCTCTCCAGGTCTCTGTGTTGAGCCCGGAGATCCTCCTCTCCTCCAACAGCCTCTGCAGACGTCTAAGTCTGGGATTCAGCAGATAATTGAATGCTTCCGTTCAGGTTTGTGTATCTTTTTTCATAGTTTCCTCTCCACTCTCTTTTGAATGTGTCTGTTGATTCAGTTGATCAGAGCACAGCGATGCAGGAACGACACAGTTGCTTGGTTGTTTCTTAGATTGGTGACATGTTAGAGATTTGAGGTTCCTACAACGTGTCTGCAACTTTGACCGCTGGCATTGGGCAAGAGGCGGATTACAGCCTGGAGACTGGACAGTCTATCCCCTTGCTAGACTAGTGACCTGCTGTTGTATATTGCAGCCTCAGACTAACTTTTCATTAATAATACAGACTGTGTCCCCATCATAGTCTAATTTGTCCCCCAACTGTTTCATAATGAACCAAAATACTTGTGGTCAAACACTAACTTTCTCTCTGCTGAGCTCTGATCTCTCTCAATATATGAGAATATGAAATGCATGTTCTCCATTAGGTCATCTGCATTGTGAGGTGGACACACGTGTGTTGCAAGTGCTCCCTCTGCCGATGCGACTTTGAAGATTGCATTTTAAGATATGGTGTATTTTCATTGTACAGGTCTTATTATTCTCACTGAAATCACTGCGGTTAATCATCGCTGCTTACCTCTGTCTCACAGGCACCAGCCAGCTGAGACACATGCTGCTGAGGGAGGTGGATACCATCTTCGAGTGTAAACTGTGCCGCAGTCTGTTCAGGGGCCTGCCCAACCTCATCACACATAAAGAGTACTACTGCCTGTCACGGCTGCCTGAACCCGACGGTTAGTGACGCAGCATATTAGCATGCAGACACATACACAACTCTAAACACGTCTGGAATATTTAAACATAACCTGTTTCTAATCACAGCCCTGCTCTCAAAGTCCCACAGTCAAAGCATAAAAGATAAAAAAACACAGATGCCCATAAACTCAATAATAAAATCAAAAGGCGGAACTGGTAGAGCACAAACTCCCTCAGCTCGGGTCAGAGCCGTTGTGCACGCTGAGGACATGCAAATGCAAACTTGTCGAGATAACACAAACAGCGACTCTCGAAATTAGTCTGGGATCAATCTTGACTTCAGCACTTAGTTTAGTTTGCACACACACACTCAAAAAAAAAAACCCATGTAGACTGACGACATCAACATTTCCTAAGGTGGTTCCACATTTTACTTTCATGTTCTGTCACTCCAAGGTTTTCACTATCTCTTTCACACCATCTGTCTCCTGCTCATTATTCCCGTCTTATCTCCTCTTTTGGTACACAGCCCCATTTTTCTCTCTTCCACACCCATTACTGTAACGTCTTCTATCCGTCAATCATTCATCTTACACAAAGTGAAGTCTCTATTCTGCTCTTCCCTCATATCACGGCAGAAAGTAACTTTGATCTTGCACCATTAGCGTTTTATCTACTGCTCATTAGCCACAGTATGTGTCCATATCTCTATTCTTTCCTGCTCAGAAGCGGTCGGGTACCCGGAGGAAGCCCAGCAGACTCTTCAAGTAGTTTCTCTGTTACCTAACTCTCCTCTCCTCTCCTCCTAAAAGACAGATCAATCTCATCACAAGCAGTCGGTTTTATTTTGCTCATTTCTATCCACTGTAATGATCGCTGTCGGAAAAAGACGACTTCATCACAATCTTCTCATCATCTGCTTGTGGTCTTACTTAAGTGGTTTCTCTCATAATGTTTTTTCTCAATCAACAGTCCATTACTATAGGCTGTAAGTGTACTGTATTGTTATTTTGATAAATGACCTCATCAGTGTTTTTCACCATCAAAGTGCTGGAAGTTAAATGTGAGGTTACTGGATAAACACATTTGATTACATTTTTCACCCTTGAGCCCCGACAGTCGACTAATACAGTTTCCGTTTGTGGTCCAAGTGCCTAAAATTAAAATCTGTATATTTCCTGTTGTGAGGAATTCTTTAAAAGAAAGTTGCACATTTGCTGAAAGAATAATATCAACATCACAACGGTTGTAGAAGAGAAAAATATTGACTGTTAAAACAAAGCTCAGAAAAATCATAGACTATATACAGTATATCGAGGCCGCCCTGGCGGTTGGCTGCAGTATCGTGAATCCTGCTTCCTCCATGTTAGTGTAAGGGACATTGACCAAACTAAAAAGTCAGACACTTATTCACATCCACTTACACATCAAATAATTTTTTTCTCAAAGATGGTTTCTGTCATTTGAGGTAGTTCTACACTGATTTTTCTGCATGAAGGTTGTAATTACTTATAAAGGATCCCCCCCTTTGTCCAGAGCAAAACTTAATGGAATCTTAATTGGAAGTATTCCTAAAAAAAGTGAGCTGAACCGAGTCTTCCTGTTTGAAAGGGCTGATTGTGAATGTGAATAGTTTTGACATGAGGAAGAATTATATTTTGTCTCTTTAATGTTTAATTTAAATATTTAAATTTTTTTTAAGGTTCTTCGGGGGATGACAGACAGAGTGTAGCCATGAAGGATTTACTGGACACCATATATCCCAGAGCCGACCGACCAGACTACGTAGTCCGACTGGAGCCCATTCAGACCACTACCAAGGCCGTGTTCCAGTACCTCACCACAGAAGAGGATCTGGCCAGATATCCATCACACACACCCAGGTTGGTAGTATACTGATGGAGCGAGCTGTATTGTAACTCAATGTGTGTGAGTGATATAGCTAACGCAGTGTAGCTGTTGTACACTTAAGTTTGACTTTCGTCCTTGATATGATATTTTAATGAACCTTCCCAGTGCCAGAGAGAGTCCAGTAGCATGGGAAGAGCCAGCGGAGGGTGGGGACAACAGCCAGGCGAGCCAGCGAGGTGGAGCAGAGAGCCACAGCAGCCCGGGACCCAACCAGGGGCAGAAGAGATGGGAGGCTGAGGAGGAGGCCAAAGCAGAGCAGCCACCGCCTGAAGAGGAGGGCTCCACTAGCGGGGTATGTATCTGAGATATCTGATTTTCCACAAAGCCTCGTTTGCTGCAGTCCTTCACTTTCTCTTTTCTCATTATTCTCTCTTCGCCACCAGGTGGAGGACGTGACAATCTCCTGTTGTCTGTGCGGTCAGGACTTCAACTCGCGCCGCAGCATCAGGCGCCACTGCCGCAAAATGCACAAGACCAAACTGGAGGAGCTGCGAAAGTTCACAGAGACACGAACAGTTCCCACGAGCCTGCTCTCTATGGTGAAAGGTAAGTGTTGATGAAAAGTAAATATAGTAATTTATAAACTGATCAGTATTATAAAGTATTGATTATAGCGACAGGAGCTCATATACTCATAT